TTTGTGTGGTGCCGGTGGCAGCATCGATCAGATGTGGTACGCTGCAGAGGTGATGGTGTCTGAAGCGACCACTACAACAACAACAACAACTACAACTACAACTACAACTACAACTACAACTACAACTACAACGACATCAACAACTACTACTACAACTGCAACTGACCGGAGCACTTTACCAGAAGGCTGTGTCACTGTCACATGTCGCCTGGATCCTATGCAATCGAAGCCTGTCTGAGCCGACTTCTCTCTTTTGCTGAAATGGGCCAATGGTGCCACTGAGCAGGCCGGCGCAGCCGGAACTTGGTGCTTTGAGTTCTTGTGAGTTGAGTCCCTACCCATGTTCGCCATGCTGTTCAGCACTGGCACTGCTCAATGTGTCTCTGGGTGCTTGGACTTTTCTGTCCGTCAAAGGAAGAAATGCAGAAGCGACTGGACAATTCACTTCTTCGCAAGAGCCTCAAGCCTTTGCTTCAACTTCAAGTGGGCTTGCTGGGCCTCGTCCCCCGTGGCTTCCAGAGGTCGCTTTTGACCTTGGTTCTGATTCTCATCGCCCTCGGATTTGATGACGCCGGCAGCAGCGGCTGCTCCTGCGGCTGCTCCTGCGGCCACCTTCGGGGCAGCCTTGGCCGCCGGCTTTTTCTGCAAGCCAGGAATCTCCAAGATCTTAGCAACCGCAGGCATGTAAAGGCTGTGGCCTTCGGTCAAACAATCCTTGAGAGCAAGGGATGCAAGCCTGGTCAGCAGCAGCTCCTTGTGCGTCTCCGTGTAGCAGATGCCCACATAAGGAATCCCCAAATCGATAGTCTTCTTGGCTGTGACATCCGTGGGAGTCCAGTCGATGACGGCATCAGCCCAACTCTCCGAGCGGAAGAGCTCTTCCAGCACCAGCGGCGAAGCAGAGTGCCAGAAGACTGGCTCGTAGTCACCGTCCTTGGTGTTCAGAGCCTCCCCGTCCGTCTGACCTCCCACGGCGATTCGCATCTGGGAGCCGAACAGCTTTTTCTTCGTACCGCAAGTCTCAACCCAAGTACTCTCAGGCAGGGGCATCCGACTGAGCATATTCCCACTGCTGGTGTCATCCTTCATGTGAGCCGCACGGCGATTGCGACGCTTCTGCTTGGCAGCCGAGGAAGACGTCACCACATGAACTGTCTCCAGCTGATTCAGCTGCGCGGTGGACTTGAACCTCTCCAGCCTGGCTATCAAGTCTGCCTCCTTGTACCCAACGAACAAGGACTTGTGATGCTTGGCCATCGAAGCACCGCCCTCATTCATGAAGGAGTTCAGGATGGCACGATCGTTGCCGGCCTTCCCAGCGTCACTGATCATGAACATGCAATTCATTGGCAGCTCGCCGCCAGAGTCCGCAAAGGCGCACGTCGATTGGATGGCCGTCTTGACGCGGTCCGCTTTCAGCGGGGGAACCCGCAAGTGCGGAGCAGTGACGGATTCTCCTGCTGCTTTCTGATCATAGTACACAAGAACGGTCTTGTCCTTGGCGGCGATGATGCCCGCGATGGCTGAGCTTTTCAACTCCTCCTGAAGCACAGCCTGACGCTCGGGCTCCACAATCAGCTTCACGGACGACCGCACCAAACGATGGGCCCGCGTCTCCAAGTCCTTCACGACAGCCAGGTCCTCCTCGCTCAAGCTCTTGAGATGCCTGGCCACGAGGTTCTTCTCGTGAGTAGCCTTGGCTTCGTCGACCTGGCCCTTTGCCAAACTTCCGAGGCGCATGAAACTCAGCTGAACGATCTGGCCAACCTGACCCGCATCGGCATTGTCTGAGGCTAGCACACCATCTGCATCTTGAGGAGCCTGTTCAGGGACTTCGCCCCGCTCTTTCACCCATCCATCTCTGAAGACTTTGAACTCCGCCATGAACTCTTCTCGGTCAGGGAGGTCCGGGGGCTTGGCTCCTGCAGCCAAGGCAGACTTCAGCTTCCTGTCAAGCTTGTTGCCGAAGCAGGCATCCTCAATGAAGGTCACATACTCCTTCAGGGTCTTGGAGAAAGAACCCAACCAAGACATATCCACCGTGTCACGCTCCACCTTGGTCCCGAAGAACTGACGGTAGGTGGCAAAGTCTGCAAAGACCCGTCTGACAGCATCCTTGTTGTGGGGGGGCACAGCAGAGCCGGCCTCCTCCAGCCAGGTCGACAGGGCAAGGTCGCGGACACCGAGTTTAAACAAGAACAAATCCACCGTTCCCTTATTGGAAGGAAGGCCCTGCCCTTTCAAATTCCTGGTGGAGCAAGCAGAGGTCTGCAGAAGCTCATTGTCCACCTGATCCTGTATGGCGGACACGACCCACTTGGTCCTTTCCGTGGCTCCAGCCCCAATGCCGATCTTTTTTACCACCTCTTCCAACTGGTAGATGGAAGTCCACACGTTGTCCTTTCCATTCCGCTCCTCCCCCTTCAAGATGAGAACCTCGACCTCCGGGATGCACAACATGCGGTTATACACAGTCAAGCATGCGTCCACGAAGCTCAATTTGAAGGCTTTGTCGCCCGTGGCTAGGGTGGAGAACTTGACATTGGCCATCCAGGCCTGGAAAACAGCGGATGCGCCCAGGGTGGTCGCGGGATCCTTGCGCTCCTCCTCCAACTTGAATTGAATGACTTCATACGCTCGCTGAATGCAGGAACGGTAGAAGACATCAAATGAAGTTCCGACATGCTCCCGGAGATTGATGGAACGCCAGTAGCATTGATCAAGAGATGGCATCAGTTCGAAGACGAAGGTCCATGACCGGATCAGGTTCAGCCACAGGGCCAGCTCTGCCTCCCCAGGGTCAGAGGCAATGACCTTGTCCAGCTGGAAGATCAAAGCGAAGAATTCTTCGTCAGGGCTGATGAGCCGGAGCTTTCCTCGCATGTCCAAGACCACTTCTCCATTCAGGACACCCACATGCAAGGGCCTTCGATTCTCAGCGGCCATCTTTACACTCCCGAAGACTTCTGTTTGGAGCTTCCTGATAGAGTTGCGGTTGATGGGAATT